CAGGATTTTTAGTGTATGTATTTGGTTACAGTCGACAGCAAAGTATAGCCGAATTTAATCAAAATGATTTGTTAGATTCAAATTATTTTTCTTTATTAATTTCAGTATCAGTTAATTTAATTTCGTCTATGTGGTTACCTTGCACTCTATTTAGAAAAGCTAATATTTTTATTAGCATCTTGTACGCACAACATGATAAGATTTGCTCCAATTCCTATTAATGAGATGTGAGAAATGGTAATTTCTTTTGTTAGAATTCTCTGAATATAACAAATAATTTTTTATCGTGTTTAGACATGACTTCTAGTTAAACTTTACACCTCAGAAGTAGTCATTATTAATTTTGCAAAGACGGAGATAGAGATTGGTCGTAATTACGAGCTTCTGAATTTAAAAAAATATCTGGTAATCTGCCTCACTTTAGTCCTAAAAAGAACAAAAATATTATAACATATAATTTCATAAAATTTTAAAAATATCGTGTTCTGTTAAGAAAGGTCATCATTTATTGCGATATATTACTAAAACTAATGACATTGAAATAAAGATGCATAGCGTAATTTTAATAGAAAACGTTAAATATAGTTAAAGTCAATTTAAATATATAAGGTCAAATTAAACTTGATATCGAAACTTAATTTTAAAGTGAAGATAACGCATAATTAATTGAAACAGTACTTACATCTGTTATTTATAATACGATCGTTGCTGAAAGATGAAAAAATATGAGGGAGTACATCACAAGGCAGTCGCGTTGATGTAATGAATATATCGTGCAAGTGTCTAAAAACCTCGGGAATTAAACAGAGGCAGCCGTACAAAGATGGGTGCAAGCAGGGTAAGGGAGAGGGGGACATTACAAAACTTGGTTTTAACCGGTTAATTCTTACTACCTAAACCGAAATTTGTGAAAAAACGGTATTTCACAAAAACCGGTTTTGGGTTCAATGACCGAAACGGGTTTAGAATTTCAACCGGTTTCCGAGCCCTGGTAGTAAAGCCTATTTAATAAAAAAGAGTCATTAAAATCAGTTCACAATCTGCGAATATATCGCGTAATATACACACAAAAAAACATTCACTCGAATTGTGAACCTCCTCCTTTTTGAAGTCGGTTGAAAAACCGCTTGCCAATCGTGGCAACTATGGCAAATATTCCCCCTATGAGGCAATCTATCGCGGAGGCCTATGTTCAGCAGTAGACTTTTAATAGGCTGTGATGAATGAATGATAAATGAAGGTTGTCTGGAAGATATCGCTTCCAGAGTGATAAGACTGTCTATTGTACCTTCTATATTCATTTTGTTTTCGTTTTAATGTGTATTAGTGTAAAAAGTACCTATATATTGATGTTGAATTCCCGCGTAAAATAGCAGCTCAGTGCTGCTGTGTTTCGTATAGTGAGTACGAGGGTAGAGAAACGAAGACACTTTTTACTGGAAACAAGGCATTCCATCTTAGTCCTCAGGGGTGACAACGCATCGGCATTTTGATTCCTAATTGAGGATAGAGGAATGTGTGTGCTTGTTTGTCAACCTTATTATAATACCAGCGTAAAATAGCAGCTTAACGCTGCTGTGTTTCGTATGGTGAGTGTAGAGAACCGGATACCCTTTTTACTGGAAAAGAGGCATTCCATCTTAGTCCTCACGGGTGACAACGCATCGACATTTTGATTTGTAATAGGGGATAGATGTAGATGTCTATGGGCCGCAGCAACCACTAACCATCAGGTGGACTGTGTGCTCGTTTGTCACTCTTATCTTATAAAAAAAAAGTCGAAAGAAGTGCAACAACCTTGTATCTCAAGTATCGAGAAGACAATTGCACAGTTACAATCAGATTTTGCGGAGGGAGATCAAGCCCTACTGTCCAACGACCTAGAAATAGCTGGCTGTACGGAAAGGACAAATGAGAACTGCGTTCATCTTGTGCGTACAGTTGTGAAGAAAATTGGCATTCAGCTTGACGAAAAGGACATTGTGAGTGCAGAACGAGTGAAGCTCATGTGCGGACACACACTCTCGGAGTTCGTTTAGCACGTCGTATGCTATGATGCTTTAATACAAGCCGCGCGAATTCGACGTGATCTAAACACCGAAGGCTTGCAGTTCCCTGGACCGGTCGGACCCTTGTACATCAATGAGCGCCTAACCAAGCAAAATCGTCTTCTGTTCCAAAAATCGCGCGTTCTAGCTGGCAAGTTTAAATTTAAGTACATACGAGTATGTACGCGAGACGGAAAGATCTACGCACGTAAGGACCAAGGGAAACCGCGACATCGGTTACGCACTGAAACAGACCTTTCTAAGGTTTTTGGAAAGCATGGTATTTGATCTCCTATGTTTATATTATTATATAAACTTTAATTTAAATTAAATTTTCGAAGACCATGTGAGCAAATTGCTCGAAGAGGGTAGGGTCAAGAGTACTCGGATACCTAGACGTGCATGTATGAAGAAGATAATGAATCTGAAAGAAGCGAAAGAGATATGTAAGGATCGTGACACTTGGCGATCTATTCTCTCTGGCTACCCCGTCAGGGATTGTGCGTGAAGATAAGTAAGTAAGTAATTTAAATTATTATATAAACGTTTTTTTTTTGCTAAATTGGATTATGTTTTAAGATATATACTTTTAAGGTATATTTTTGCAACACAAACAAATACACTAACACTACATATTCATACAAATACATTACACTCACTTGCAGAGCAACCATTATATTTATAGCTTTTATCATAATAAAATATTAACCTTGATGCCCAATAATATCTAGCTCAAAGCAAACTTATTTGAGATTAGGGTTTTCAAATGCTAGATCTATAAATACGGGAAAAGAAGAACTTTTCTTAACCACTCGCCTGATATCCTTGCTCTTAATGAAACTTGGCTAAAGGCAGGAGAAGAGGCACTTGCACCTGTGATACCGAACTACAAATTTATTCACAGAGCGAGACAGGTGAAAAAAGGCGGAGGCGTGGGCTTCTATGTAAGACAGGAAATCAGTATAAGGATACGTAAACATCCAAGATATCCACGGGAACAAATTTGGTTTAAACTTCAACTCCCAAGAACTACAATGGCACTCGGTACAGCATACAGACCAGAGTATGTTAGTGTTAAAGAAACTCTAGACGCACTTAGCGAGGCAGTGAACTCTATGGCACGATGTGACAACATATGTATCCTTGGCGATTTCAATATTGATATGGCTTGTGTTAGTGCTTCAAACTGCCTCGTTGGTCTAGTGGTTGTAGTAGTGCGACTGCTGATCATGAGGTCCCGGGTTCGAATCCCGGGTCGGGCCAAAAAAATCAGTTATTGAGTTTTTCTATCAAGAAATTCTCAGTAGCTGCCCGGAGTCAGGAAGTTGGCGGTGTCTCACCCCCGTGCCTCGGAAAGCACGTTAAGCCGTTGGTCCTGCGCCTAATCTCTCTCCGGTCGTGTCGGTTTACCGTCCCATCGGACTATGAGAGTGAGGGAATAGAGAGTGCACCTGTGCTTGCGCATACACTCGGGCACTATAATCCTGTCCTGCGCAGATGGCTAGTCTCCGTTGAGGCTGGCTGCCGTGACCGAAATTCGGTCGGGAGGACATTATTATTATTAGTTCTTCAAAAGTGACAGAACTTACAACATTTCTGTCATCACCACAGTCTTGAGTAACTCGTAAAAGAACCGACTAGAATCACAGACCATTCCCAAACCATAATAGGCCTCGTTATGTCTGACAGCCCTTTAAAATGCAAAAATATTGATGTGTGATACAGAACCACTGTTTAATTGACCATGCGTTAGTAGTTGTAGATTTAGATATCAAAAAATCCAAGTTAAATAAAGAAGTTAGGCTTCAACGACCATTATATAATATAAATCAAGATCTTTTTTATAGGATAGCGTGACAAACGGGCACACATTCCACCTGATGGTAAGTGGTTGCTGTGACCCATAGACATCTACATCTCCTCGTTTGCGAATCAAAATGCAGATGCGTTTTCACCCGTGACGACTAAGATGGAATGCCTCTTTTCCAGTAAATAGGGTCTCCGGTTCTCTACACTCACCATACGAAACACAGCAGCATTAAGCTGCTATTTTACGCTGGTATTCTGTTAGAGCGTGGTCCTTCCCCCGTCGAGCCGACCCATTCGTGCTACAATTAGACCCGAAGTATAGCTGCAGCATGGCTCTACCACGTAAATAAGTTTACAGAAGACTTAAATCTTATTCGAATCTATTTCTATTCTACAAAATGTGAATGAAATGGCTAAAACTTTTAACATGTATATTATAAAATTATTTGACATACATGCACCAATTCGAAAGGTAGTTCTCAAAGATAAGCCTAAACCATGGATTACGAACATGGTTATATTGATGATGAAACTTCGCGATAAAGCTCTGAAAAAAGCACAGAAAAACCAAAAAGACAGCTCGAAAGATTATTATCGCAGTTTAAGAAATTTTGTTACCGCAATTATCAAATGAGAACGAATAGTCAACTATAATAATTTTATAAATAACAATATAAAAAACCGGCTTTGTTGTGGAGAAACTTAATTAACACAACCCAATTTAATAACACACACAAAACAATAATCGTGCCTTAAGTCAGTTAAGCGAGGGTTGCCTCAAGGCTCTCTACTTAGTCCAATCCTATTTACAATTTTTACAGCAGATCTTCCTAGGCATATTTTTGTAAATATCACTTATATGCTGATGACACACAACTGTACTACTCATTAGATGAGTGAATGATAGAGGTGATTGGGGAACTCGCAATTCTCACGAAACCCATGTAACATCTCAGGGAGGGAGGAGTGCCTGAAAACCAGCGCTTCATGGGATCTTACTCCCATGTAAGCATAACTGAGTCACCACAGATTGCCTATTATATATATAGTATATGCTTATATATACATATTTATAAGTATTTATATATTCAAACCAAATGAGAAAACAATAGTAATACCCCATTATAATGACATAAAACTCACCGCATATGCGTGCTGCGACCACACCCGCGCTGTAACACTGACAGCCACCAGGACACGCAACCACTGCAAAATAAAACATAAATGACTAACACGAAAAGTACAAAATAATAATAGCTTTCTTTCTATTTTCCTATTTTTTTATTGGAGACGAGGCATTCCATCTCAGTCCTCAGGGGTGACAACGCAACTGCATTTTGATTCTTAATCGTGAATAGATGTAGATATCTATGGGCCACAGCGTCCACTTACCATCAGGTGGACTATGTGCTCGTTTACCCTCCCTTATTCTATAAAATGTTGTCTTGATATCTCTCAGCGGATGAAGTATTTGCCTTGATATGCATAGTATAAATTATTTTATATTGTACAACTTAATACTATAAAATAAATATATATTCTATAAAATAATTTATGTAAATATTAATGACGGACGTGGAGTTATGTTGTAATTTCTTTACGTGTATATATTTATTTCTTTACGCGGTAGAGCCATGTTGCAGCTATATTGTGGTTGCAGCATGAATGGGTCGGCTCGACCGGGGCAGGAACACGCTCTCACAGAATACCAGCGTAAAATAGCAGCAGCATAGAAGCGGGGACCCTTTTTACTGGAAACGAGGTATATATTCCATCTCAGTCCTCACGGTTGACAACGCATCTGCATTCTAATTCTTAATCGAGGATTTGTTGATGTCTATGGGCTACAACGTCCACTTACTATCAGGTGGACTATGTGCTCGTTTACGCTCCCTTATTCTATAAAATCTTGACTTGATTTCTCTCAGCGGGTGAAGGGTTTGCCTAAATCATTACGCTTAGCGGCCATATCATTGTCCACTATCCCATATCGTCCTGTAGGTGTCGTAAGAGACGACAGAGGGAAACTGAAACACGAGATGGGCAACAGCATCTTCCTGATAACAACCCAAAATAATAAAAATACTGAGGTTGCCAACCTGCCTGCCAAGCGTGGCAACTATGCTATAGGCAATCTATGATGAGACCTATGTTTGATAGGCTGAAAAGAATTAATGACTAAATGAGCGATTCGAGTTCGATCTCTGCCGTCACTAATAAAATGACAATGGCAATTTTACGAGATTATTAATCATATTATGATCGGTGGTGGTGTAATCCTGTATATCTAAACAATAATATATTTTGAAAACATGTAAATTCGTCAACACGCACTGAAGCAGCGCGACCGACTAATTACTCCAATCCAAACAGCCCTTAGAAACTATACAAGATTTTATTTATGTACTTCGCACGGGTGATTTCTGGATCTCCACAACAGCGCCACCTATCGGGTCTAATTGTGAATCTAAACAATTCTCGAATCAACTTAATTACACATACAAAATTTTATTAAAATCGGTCCAGCCGTTTAGGAGCAGTTCAATCACATAATATACACGGACGGAAGGATTATATATAATGCATGTATAATACACATAAACTTTTCTCTTGAATAATTCTGTCTATTGATGAAAACCGCATCAAAATCCGTTGTGTTGTTTAAAAGGTCTAAACGTACAGACGGCGGATAGAGACTATTTTATACTAGTCTATATAGTGGTACATAAAAAAATGACTTTCAATAAGTATCATGTAATAATCAATATTGAATAAAAATCATTCTATTCTATTCTATTCTACTAGGTATGTAGAGATTTATTTATTTAATACGAGTAGCTGGTACCCGGCGCGTTGCTGCTGCAGAAATAATTGTGGAAATATAGTTTTAAATTTGGAAGAGTTTAATTAGGAACGATTATACATTAATTGAAGTTGAATGATATATAACTTTTAAATAATTTTGTCAGTACGGTCCGCGCGCCCCCTACTGTAAGTAAATTGTACTAAACTTAGTGTAAGTGCATGCAATAAGTTGACAAAGTTTCACCGCAATCTGATGAACATATGAAGCATAACCTGTCAATCCCATCCAAGAGGAGTAAAACTCTTTCAATAAAAAAATCCCTAACCCAAGGTATGATCCGACCCGTGCCGAAGGGTGTATGGCTGAGAGGACACTCATTCGCGAGCGGAGGACAACCAGAGGACTGATACCGGGCAACCTCAGGGTTTTAACATTAGCCTTATCTTCGCAAGCGGGGCGCTGGGAAGACGGACATAATATTTCTCCTGCTACTCGTGGGTTGAAGATGAATGATAGTTTTAATAAAGAAATATATAATTTGCGTTCACGTAAGGCATCACTGACTGAATCAGGGCTCATCTAAAGAAGAGAGCTTAAAGCCTCAAATTGAAATCAAGAAACGACGAGAGGAGCACCAATATGATGAAGAAAATAGAACAACTAAATAAACACAATCCCTATCACCGAATTTAAGCGACACACAAGAAGAATCCGATGTAAGTTGCAGCGAATCCCACTACTCTTCGCCTTCTTCTTATAATACATCGTTTTCAATAAACTCATCTGACTTCTATGATAAGCCTAATACACAACGAACACCTCACTCAAAATCATTAGCACATGTTGTGGAGGAAGCAGAAGCAACAAACTCTTCACCCACTACTAGCGTCTGACGTGCGCAAAGGAAAAATGGACCTATAAAATGAACATATATGGCGTACATACCTTTACACAACTAACATGGAAACAAACACTAAACAGTATTTAGACAGATTACACAAATAGAGATTAGGGGATCAACGGAGAACCATAGTCAGAAATAAACGCATACCTACAAAAGACCTGGAACAAAATAAATCCGAAGTCCAAACTGCTTTGAATAATTATTAAAAGACACCGGAAGAAAACATCCCCTCTCTTTGTAGGAATATGACAATAAAAGGAAAACAACCAATTAATGTAAAGATGCGGTAGTCTAGCGAACTAAATGAAAAATTAATAAAATCTTACTTTGAAATCGAAATCTTACTTTGAATGTTGACACTTACGGCACGGTCTCCGTAGGACCGTACGGGGCCGACTGAAAATCAGCGTCGCCATCCTGCCATAGACTAATATATAATACTGGAGATATCCTGCGGCTTATGCTGAGGCGGTCCCTTCCGCCACTTCATCTGTTTCGATTATTAAGTCATGAATTGTTGTTATACCCTCTATTTTTGCTGTTTATTCATTTTCTTAGGTTGTTTTTTTTTTTCATTTTTATTTTATTCTTATTCGTTTATTATTTTTTTATTCACCTGTACTGTAATTTGTGATTGTAATCTGAAGTGTCGGAATAAATGTCTTTAAAGTCACAAACTTGGAAACTAATTTAACAGCCTACAGAAAAAGAACACGCTGCAAGTTTATAGAATACTGCCCAGAACTGTCGCATTTAGCAGAACAGATATTAGCCGATCAAAGAAGATCCATAATAAAAAATAAACCGATTTCTGAGGAGCGACTATAAGAAATAAGAAGAAATATTAGAGACAAATTTTGGCAAGCTAGCTATGGAACATATAAGTGTAACAATAAAAGCATCACAACAGGAGCGCCATTAGAACCAATATTTGTTTTAAATATACAATTGCTATCTGATAAATCACAACACAGAATCCTGGAACCAGCAACTAGTCAAACGCGATGTAGCGATGTACCGCGATGTAGTACGAGTAGAAACGATTCTTTTGAGTTTTTAGTTATTTATTTAACGAAACAATTTATTACTAACTAATGACAACGCGTTAGAACCAGATACGGAAAATACACAATAAGGAAGTCACACAAGTCAGCGTTAAGGTAGATAAAGAAGAGTTATTTCATTTAGATAACGATGAAAAACAAAAGATATTTTCAGAAACTTATCAAATATATGCAGAGTGTGATCTTGTTAACAGGCCGTATATCCCAAACCAAAATGTTGTAAAAAAACAGCTATTATTAACAGCTATTATAAATTGCATTAATCAAAATAATTTGCCAGAATATGTACATTGTAAGTGATTTTGAAACTATTCATGCAGCTATTTATTGCGCCGCCTATACAGCCAGTCAGGTAAACTAAATATTTTTGGTCGACATTACTATTCCGTCTGACGAGAACCTCGTGAAGGTCGAAACATATAAGCGAACAAAATTTCTGGACCTGGCTCACAAGGTGACCGACATGTGGGGACTGCCGACCGAAATTATTCCTGTAGTCGTCTCTGCAAACGTCAGCCTTTCGGGTCATCTGAGGCGACTGGGACTCCGTGACGGACCACTCCGGGCTCAAATGCAGAAGGCGGTGCCGGTGACCCTTGATACCGCCCGCATCGTCCGCCGGTTTCTTTCCCTTTCCCCCTAACATCTGGTTGGGACTTTATTTATGTATTATTTATTTATTTATGTTAGTATGTTAAATATATATTTATGTTTATTTATTGTTTCCATATATATATATATCAACGTATTTACTGCCCTTAGCGGCGAAACTCTATAAAAATACTTAACTTCGCAATAATAAATACTGAGGCTGAATTATCGGGAATAAAAACTATCCTATCTCTTAAGTTGGACCAAATTGGATGAAAACATTTCAGTGGTTTAGGAGTTTATCGCGGACAAACAACGTGACACGTAAGTTTTATATATAAAGATATATATATATATATATATATATATTATATATATATATATATATATATATATATATATATATATATATATATATATACTAGCTGTTCGCCGCGACTTCGCCCGCGTGTAATTTAAGGTTTTATATTTGTTTGCTCGGAACCCTAATTTTTTTATCTAAAATAAAAGTAGCCTAAGTTACTCCTTATGACATTAGCTATCTGCCAGGAAAATGCCCTCAAAATCGGTCCAGCCGTTTTGGAGATTAGGCGGAACAAACAGACAAACAGACAGACAAAAACTTTAAAAATTGTATTTTTGTCATCAGTACCGTATATACTTTCATATGCATTTAGTAAAAAGCTGTAATTTTGACGTTACAAACAGACACTTCAATTTTATTTATTTGTATAGATATACATAATTCATTATCATTTGAATCCTATTGCCAGCTCTACCCAGTGTCGCTGAATGTGGTAATCTGATCTCGCCGCGATCATTTTAGAGTGCTGTTATTACTGTTTCGCAGACGCTGTAACATTGAGGCTGATTTCTTTTGCATAATAGCATGAAATCCATCAGTCCTAGCACCCGCGAACATTTTCGAAGCACTACAGCGCCATGGCAGTCCCAACAGCATCCTAAAAACGTTATTGTATTGAATGCGAAGGGCGCTGTATGCTTGTCGCTTGTATGATACCCACAGGCTACTCCGCACGCACACATTAGTAAGGGTTCATCGGTAGTCAAAAACGTTGTTGCCCATTAATCACATTCTATTTGGAATAATTTCAAATAAGCCTTATTTACTCGTATTTTTAAAAACTGCAATAACGGTATATCATTATTTATATATTTGAACTTAAGTTTAAAATTTTGTTACCTTTTGAAAAATAACCCTGTATAGGATGTTGGTTTGTGTATACTTTACTAACTTTAAAAAACAAACAGCCATTTATTGTAATGTTCTTTCCCTGTACCGACGACTATTTGCATACCCGTTAGATCTAGGATTAATGAAGTCCAGATATTGGATGAACTACATTTTACTGTCCCACTTTCCCTCGTACACGTTTATTTTAAATTAATCTGCATTAATCTGTTAGGTTGTTTTAATCGCAGGGATCCGACTTTCTATAATAATTTCTAACACCGGGGTAGCAGTGCTAGAAATAGTTTCGTTTAAAATATTTAAACTAACATTACCAATAAATGAAAACAAACTGTATATCGCTTTTAACAACATTATCGATAGTAAATATTAACATACATTTTGTATCTGTGGTTGGAATATTACTCTATTACTCAGTGGTTCGATTCGCAAGTAATGAGTTTGAAACCGCGAAGAGTGGTACCTGAGTTGAGTCTTGGTGTCTCTATGTAGATATATCATTCTTTATTGTACACCAAATCAATACATAACCGAAAGAAAAAGAAAAAAAATAATGATACAATGAGCGGTCTTATCGCTAAAAGCGATTTCTTCCAGACAACCTTTGGATTTGGATGGACAGGATTGTAAAAAGCAGAAAATTGTGTGGTTTGGTGATGCATTATAATATATAGAAATAAATAACAAATTCTCTAAAATACTAATGTATACATATAGCCACGAATTCAAAGGTTAAGATAGTGATTGTGTACAAGCTTCTGAAAAACAGATAAAGATTGGGCGCGTTTGACAGAGGTAGGGCATTCCATAGACGGATTGCTTGGATAGTAAACGACCTGTGCAAATATTTGGTATTATGGCCAAGCATTTTAATGTAAAATTTTCTGATGATCTCAAAATTTCTCGAATGGGAATAGTGAAGGAATACAAAGCGATCCTTAAGATAAGAAGGATAGAAAGGATTAAAAATAACATTTTAAAGAAGTGATGATTCCGGCCAAGACGAATTATATATTCTGTCACTTGTACATATACAAATTATCTATCTAGTCGCATTGATGTAGCGTTCTCTTGTCTTAGATATAAACAATATATGTAACATAGTTTACGGCATTTTCTTTACCATACTGTGAAACATTGTCAATAAATTCCAATCCAGGACGGTATACTCCTTGGTGGAATCAAAAAAAAAGTAAAGTTGGCTTTGGCTGGATGCCATAAAACCAATTCCTACTTTAGAGTAAAAGTCAATTTAAAAAAAAGGATGTATTCTTTTAAATAAAAAGACAAAGAAAAATTTCCGCAGCTTTGCTCTCTTGCATTAAAGTTCAGGGTCATCGTTAGCATAGTAAAGCTTTGTATTATTTACTGTGTCGTTACAGTCATCTGTTCTCCGCGCCAAAATTATCATAACGCAACACTTATGAAATCACCTCGGTGTCAGTTTGCCCATCTTGACATACTTGATTTATTAGCGCTACGAAAAGATGTTGTATTTCTTTGTATATTCTATCGCATCTACCGCGTTGAGTGCTCAGAGGAATTATTCGGAATTATTCCAGCCGCTCAATTTTACCATCGCACATCGCGACAAAACTCGCGGTACCATCCATACCATCTGGATGATTGGCGGTCCACCACTGTGCGATTTACAAGAACATTGCTTCCTCGCACAACTTTCTTGTGGAATCGACTACTAACAGTGATTTTTCCGGACCGATGCAACTTAGGGACCTTCAAGTAAAGAGCCTATTATTTTTTAAAAGGGCAAGGTGCTGCAGTAGTTCATGGGCGGAAACCCATGAACAACTGCAGTATAACCCTTCCAAATTTAAAACAATATTTCCACAAATATTTTTTTCTGCGTCAGCAACGCGCCGGGTCCCAGCCAGTAATATATTATGTATAAATATGTTAGCATAATGTGTTAAACATTTTACTTACCATGGTTTAAGTGACTTTGTCTTGATGTACGTCGAATTATTGTTTCCTTTCTCGCAGTCAACCAACTATAAAGAAAAAAAATAGGAATGAGTTTAAAAGGAACACCATGTCCATCAGTATATACGGGCTGATAATAAAAAGAAGAAAGAATAAGAATAAACATTTATCATCGATTACGAATCAAAATACAGACGTGTTGTCAGTCGTGAGGACTAAGATGGAAAGCCTCGCTTCCAGTGAAAAGGGTCTCCGGTTCTCTACACTAACCATACGAAACACAGCAGCATTGAACTGCTATTTTACGCTGGTATTCTGTGAGAGCGTGGTCCTTCCCCGGTCGAGCCGACCCATTCGTGCTACAACTATACACTTAATATAGCTGCAGCATGGCTCTACCATGCATACAATACCTAGGGAGCTATCTGGGTAGGTACAATCATCGTACCTGTTACTGCCGCCAAATAGTAGTGCTTGCACTGCTGTTTTTGTCTTATGGCTCCCGAGTTTCGGCTCTCTGTACCAGCCAGTGTAATTTCAGATTGTGAGGCATTCCATGTTAGTCGGTGGTGGAGCGCATCTGTGTTCTTTATTTGAATTTTTTGCAGGTGTGCATGGACTGCAGTAGCCATTCATTAACTGGTGGACTGTAAGTTCCATTGTCACTTCAATTAAAAAAAAACATAGATTTTACTTTGCGGTTTGCGGCAATAGTGTTGGCGACTTCAAATTATGTATATGTGTATTTTATTGATTTGCAAGGATTAATTGCACTCCTCAAATCGAATCGGAGAGGTTAGGCTTTATTTTTATCTACCTACTTCAAAAAGGAGATGGTACTCAATTCGACTGTATGTTTCTTTTATGTGTGTTATCTAATAACTTTTTTCTGGGTGAACCGATTTCGATGATTCTTTTTTAATTTGAAAGCTGGTGCTTTTCACGTGGTCCCATATATTTGATCAAGGTCTGACCAACAGTTTTTAAGCTATTCTTAATAATTTATATTGTAGTCGGTTGTACAAAATTTTTAATTTTAAATTATTTTAAAAATGATATTTGAAGATATCGAGAAAGAAAACGAGCTTTTAACCATACACATGTAAATTAAATTGAAGTATCTGTCTGTAATTTCGAAATAACTGCCTTTCATTGAACTCAGAGAGCTCAATATCAATTCAATTCAATTTACACACGAATAAGACATGAATAAGCTTTTTCATTTTTTTGTCTGCCTGTAAACCACACTTTGTGGTTTAACGTCATCTTGCAAACCACAAGTGTGGTTTGTAAGATGACGTTGCGACAAGGATTAAGAAAGGAATGCTTCGGTGGTTTGGTCATGTAGAAAGAATGAACGAGGAAAGAGTGACAAAGCAAATTTATGTTGCAGAAGTGAACGGCAGGGTCGGGAAGGGACGCCCTAGACGAATGTTTATCGACCAAATCGGCGATACATTGAAAATGGGCCAGATTAGGAGTACCCTTAACCGACGAGCGTGTATGCGTAGATATATGGATGTAAAAGAGGCAAGAGGGGTGTCAGGATCGCGCCAAATGGAAGTCCGTAGTCTCTGTCTGACAGGCAGGCGTGAGTGTTTATGTATGTATGTCTGTCTGTCTGTCCGGGATAATCTTTAGAATAATTGAGACGAACATGATAGAGAACAATACCAAGTGTAAGCAAGGCTATATTTTAACCGAAAAACTTGATGATTCTTTGATTAGGCGATCTTAAAACAATAAAATAATTAAATAAATAGCATTAATATATACCAACCAAGCGAATCCCGGAAAGGTTGCTAGTATAAAGAGTAAATATGACTTATAATTATTTACCAAAGGGTTAACAGGAGACAGAATGGCCCCACACTCATTTTTGCCTTAATTCGCATCCAGGAATCACAACTTCGTTTGTGTGCGTGCCCCATTTAAACTTTAAACATAATAATTTGAAAACAGTTACGTGCGTTTATAACTGCATCAATTTCCATGCGTAATTCTTTCCGCAGACAGAAAGTGTGCGATCGTAAGCCATATTCCGTGCGGATGCGTCGTAAAAATTCCGGTAGTGCTCGATAATTTAACAAAACTTGACACACAACAAGAGCTGTTAATTGATTTGATTAAAATTATAACATCATAAATTTAGATGTTTTGACGTTCATTGCATTTAAAGCGTTTTTTCGACCATTGTTTCTCCGACAGTATGTATTGCAGGTAATTAATAAAATTTAAAAAATATGTGATAAATGTATTTTTATAATGACAACTTTCGCATATTACCGAAAGGTCAATTGTTAAATAGTAACCGATTTATTTTAGATAAAGGAGTCTGTTGTATAGTGGCTATAATAATAATAATAATGTATTTATTCAATATATTAATATATATGTATATTTATCATTTTTCATGCAGCCCTACCAGATGAGAAAATCATTTAAATACCCCACAACAATAATAATAATAATATGTACTCAAATATAAGATTACAATGTTTATCTTCGAATTAGTTTCTCACAGAATACCAGAGTAAAATAGCAGCTTAACACTGCTGTGTTTCGTATGGTGAGCGTAGAGAACCGGAGACCCTTTTTACTGGAAAAGAGGCATTCCATCTTAGTCCTCACGGGTGACAACGCATCTGCATTTTGATTCGCAAACGAAGATAAATGTGGATGTCTATGGGCCACACTAACCACTTACCATCACACGTGGACTGAGTGCTCGTTTGTCACCCTATCCTATAAAAAAAAGTTTCATGGTATATTTTTACTAAAAACAATGACCATAAATGGTTGAATATTTTAGGTTCATATTACCGTTACCGTTACAGCTCATTAAGCTCCACTGCTGAACATAGACCTCCATCAAAGATTGGCTCATAGGCGGGATTTGCCATACTCGTAGTTGCCACGCTTGGCTATTGTAATTTTGGTTGTCTTTCGCAATTTTTATCTTGAGTCGTTATTAGGAAAACGCATCTCCTGGTTTGTTTCCCTCTGTCGCCTCTTACGACACCCGCGGGATGATACGAGGTAGTGGATATTCATACACCGCCACTAACGGTAAAGGTTTATATTACAGGATTCTTATTACAATAACGCGAGCCTTATATCACAGAGTAGAGAGTTCTTTACTCATGTGCTTATATGGTATACACATGTTTAGGCTCATATTACTTTTTTTTATTCTTATATACCTATTATACCTACACCACACAAACATGGCCGCACTCGTATTCCTTTCGGTACGTAGTACTATTATTTATTCTGTGCTTTCGGTATAATAATGATCTACTCGTATCAATCGTTCTATGCACATAGGATTATAACAGGATTCGATTTACTGATAGCCTGATTCTCTAAATGTCAATATTCACGGTACGTCCCTTGTAATTTTATGACTTATTACTATTACAATAAAAATTCATAGCGGTTTTATCATAAAATTATTAACAATTTAAATGCAAATAAATTGCTTCATCTATTTTTAGACTAAACATTAATATTTAATATGCATAACATAAATAAAAATAAAGAAAATATGTTCTCTTTACTCTAAGGTGTGCAAACATGTAAAATGCCAGTGGGTAGCAGTTCAGGTGGGCTGTGTGCTCGCTTGTCACCCTAATTTTATTAAAAAAAATATCATTCTTCTCATACTAACTGACCTTTGCCTTCCCAAAGTCATCATTATCATTTTGTGGTCGTATAACGATTGTAATAGACGTTTTTAGAAGGTGATGTAACCTTTAAGTGTATTTTGTGCTTTGAGAAATATGTCGATAATACTAAAAAGAAATGAGCTAAACTCTAGTTGCATGACAAGTTAAACATGTTCATTTCGTGGTGGCGGTAACTACTAACGTTTTAATGTAACACATGACGTTATTTATTATCGATATTGCGTAAACTACGAAAATTAGTGTGAAAAGTGGTGAAGAGACCTCTATCGGTGATGTCGCAAAAATGAATACAAGAGCACTTTACATAACGTTACTGAGAGATTTCTAATTATGGAGGATGTAATAAATTCTCTTAATATCTTTATATGTTACAAAATATAGTAACTGTAGTTGCCATTACGTATCGAAGGAATAGGATTTTGAAATACATTCATAAAATAAATTGCTGTCGACGAAATCTTGACGTTAATTATATTTTTGTGTTACGAGTTTCGATAGTTTTTTTACTCTTTTAGGGAACATAATAACCAAAAGTTTTAGTTGATATTTTTGTTTATGTTGATTTTTATTCTCTTTTAAAGTCCGGTCGCCAAGCACGAAGAGATACAATGACTTTTTTGCCTACTGCCAGGAGTTGAAAACATTTTTACATAAAGTGCGAATCTGCAGAATATTGCGGAGTAAAAAACGAGAGAAACAGAATAAAAATTAAAGTATATTTACCATGCTTGTATTGAGCACGTAATATATATTTATTCATAACTACTAATTTTATAGATTTTTTTACCTAATTAGCGTAAAAAAAAACAAAAAAAAACAAATTTGTTTTTTTTTAAATTACGGGCAATTTCTGCTCGACGGCTGGGCTTTCGGCACATATTTTAATAGTTACTTATGTTTTCACGAATACTACACATGGAATAAAACTAATTTTTCTTATATTCTGCGCGTGTCGCGGTCCCGTTATCCAGGCGCGGGTAACTATCGCTCCATGAAATCCTATGATCCTAATTTTTATAGAAATCATTGTCTGATGTATAATGTGATTGCTAATCAAGCAATTACTTGCGCGTTTTTTTAGGTATTATAAGCTAGTGTTTGACTGTCCCACCTGATGGTACTCGAAAGTGATGATATTTAGCCGAATTTAAACGATGTTACACATTAACCTAAATATTGTATAGAATTTAGGAAATTTCAATAATCCCTTGTTGTGTGTGAGTGGAAAACATTTTTACTCGGGCCGCACGTTATAATAGTAATTCTTTCATTGTCTCGTCACCAGATAACCCTTACAATGAAGACTTCTAATAAACAACTTTAATTAAACCAAAAAATTACTTTGACCGTTATATTTGTCAGGCTTGAAATGCGTTAAA